AGAGGAGGCCAAGTACCATGTCCTGCCTGTCTGGCCCATTCTTGCAGGTGAGATTTTTTTTTTTTCTCCTGATAAAAAGAGAACTGAAGTCGTCTCTAACCATCTATCAAATCAAATCAAGTTTATTTGTATAGCACATTTAAAAACAGCTTCATCTGAGCAAAGTGCTTCACAGGCAATGCGTAAAAGCAAGAAATAAAAAATGTATCTATACCTATGCACATACATACACATAATACACACACACACACACATACATGTAGTATACATACATATCACAAACACATACCCTCATACCTACATGAACATGCATACATACAGATACATACCTAAGCTCAATATATGAGGTCTGTTTCAACTTGTTTTAAATGCCAGTGAAAAGAGGTGAGTTTTGAGTTTTGATGGGTTTAACGAGTTGATTTGTCTGATGGAGGGAGGCAGGTGATTCCACAGACGGGGGTCGATGTGATCTATAAGGGAAACGATTCAAAGAATCGATAAAAGAGGGAAGGCACAGAGTGTATCAAGCTTTGACAAATCTAATAAAACTTAAATATGTTTATTGTGCCACCTGGTTAATGATAAGGTCTCTGAATTTAAGGACGACTCACATTTAATTTGTCCTCTTTAAATAAACAATCTAAACCTTTTTCCTTCTCATGCAGCGTTTTTAAAAAGTAGACTGTGACCATGTGGCAGACGACAACTACCACACTGAGAAATGCATTGAGTACATTTTCTTGTCAGTGGTCTTACTTTCTCTTGTAAGTCATATAGAGGCATTTTGTCTGTTTCATTTCCAGTTATGGATCCTTACAGGATGTTTAAATATTATTAAAGGGGACATATTATGAAAAATCCACTTGTACAGGGTTTTTGAACATTTATTTGGGTAACCTGAGTTTCTACTGACCCACAACATGTGAAATAAACCCATCCAGTCCTTTGTTTGTGGTCTGCGTAAGTCTTACAACAAAGAGAAAAGGGCTCTGTTTCAAATTTGCTCTCCTTGTGACATCACAAGTGGGATTCTGTTTTACCTCCATGGGTGGAGATACCTCCCCTGATATCTCCACCCATGGACTCCACCCCCAGCCTAGAGCAAAACTGTTGAGCAGGAACGCAATTTTCATTCTCGCTAGTGAAGGAGTGATGTCTACAGGGGAAAACTCGGGGGGAGGTCTCATTGCATTTAAAGAGACACACACACCAAAACGGAGCGTTCTGAGAGAGCTGGTTTATACAGGGTCACAAACCTTCTCTGGTGCTTGATTCATGTGAAGTTCATATTTTGACCAAAGCACAGCACAGATGTTTCATTTAGACCACAGGGGGCTGTTTGAAAAGGGGTATAATATGTCCTCTTTAAAACCAAAATCACTCACTGATTCCCTACTTGCTATAGGCTATAGTGGAATATGCATATGTAGTGGACTATATAGTGCACTCACTCAGCAAAAATTTAAAAACATTTTGGACACTACTCGCTCACTTGCCGGTGCACACTTATGCAACCACATTATTTTAATTTTCATCAATTATTTTTCCTCGTAAGAAATGTCTGTCTTTTTTTTTAATGGAATGGCGCATGTCAAAGGTCAAACTAAAGATGGAAAAAAGTTTTGAAATGATCTTTCTTTGTCTAATTTTTCTAGATCACAAAAACGGACATTTTAACAAGGGTGTGTAGACTTCTTATATCCACTGTATATATTATCTGTGTCTGATATCCCAACACAAACAGAGAGTATATTCTCCCCCTTATTCTGTAAAAAAAAAAAAAAAACACAACAACTGAATAATTGTTTATAAAATCTGCTCTAACCTTGTGTGCAGTAATATTTATTGACTCGTGGCCATGTTTTATTTATACTGACTGACCTTTGCTTTAATTCATGGCCAGCAACAGGCCAAAAGCAATGGCAACCATCCACGAGCTGTTCCTCAAATTCTGCAGAACCTGAAGCATTTACAGCTTAACCTTAACTTACTAAATGCCACTTTGAAGGTCATACCTGAACATTTCATTAAAAGTTATCAAAGGGCACCAAGGGCGTCGGTCCTTTTTTTTTCTCTCTCGTGGTTGCCTGTTTGTTTTTTTGAGCACAGTTCAGCATTCCTTTTCCATAGAGTCTACAGACAGTCGTTGCCTGACCCCGGCCAATACCTGTCCCTCAGCAGGAATCTGAAAATGGGTCTTCCCATAATTGTATTAAAATCCTTCTTTTGTGTGCATGTGTGTGTGTGTGTTTGTAAGACTTTTAGGAAGGCAGTCAGACGTAATGTTTAACACTTTGGTAAAAAAGTGAAGTGGATGCTACAAGTTCTTGCTATTGAAATCTCCAATTGTAGTTTGATGCTATCCATAATAATATAATTTGTAGGAACATCAGCTTGTCTTCTCTGGCTTTCTTTCTGCTGGCACATAAAAATGAAAGATCTCTCTGGAATGATAATAACCTCTTTATGTAATGAGAAGAATCTCGCTGTGTTTTCCCACCTGCAGCGCTTGTTATTTGTTTCATTTAGTCAGGGGTATGCCTTTGTTTCATAATTGCCAGTCTCAGCTCAGCAGATCAGCAGCCCTCACATAAAATTTGTTGTCTTTTTTCTCTCTTTTGTTCGATGTTCTCGTTGCTGACCTTTGTTCACCGTCTGGACAAGCAGCGATGGCGCCAAACCAAATTCCTCCAAAGAACGACGAGGTTACCTAACAGATTTCTGTTTGTGTTTGTTTTGTTTTTTTTTGTATTTTCAGCTTACTGTGCGTGAAGAAACACAAAGAAGATTCAGGATGCAGCGGAGTTAGAAATAAAACTGCCTTTGTGACCCTCTCACAGTTTGATGAGATGGCACTTCTCAATGGTGAGCACCTCCTTCACTCCTCCACATGATGGAACAACTGAAAACAGCTGGAATAGTTTTAGATTTACTTATTCTGTTGAACTTCTAACCAAGCTGCCGTTGGTCTGTCATGGCCTTTGTTTTTATCACAGTTGGCAGCAGACATGTTTTTTAAAACGAGCTGATACAAAGCAAAGGACAGAGTATTAAATGTGGTACTGGTGTGAATGTAAGACGACCAAACAAGGTGTGTAGGTTGTTGTTTCAAGCACCTTTTTAATTGGGGTGTAACAGTTCATAGAGGTCACGGCTCGGTTCATACCTCAGTTTTTGGGGTCGCAGTTCAGTATGAGTTCGGTTGAACAAGGTGAAAAGAAACAAAAAGTTTCCCTTGTTTATTCTGAGCTAACCGTAGGAGATGTTATAGTTCGTTCCATCTTGTGTTATTTAGAACTACCTGTGATCCTGGGGCGATCACTGTGTCTCCCATTGGTTCTGCAGCTGTGAGTGACAGCTGGCCTCAGTCAGTGTTGTTAACCTGTACTGGTATTTGAAAGTCTAGACCCTGATTAAGGACAAATCCAATTTTTTAAAGATTTCTTTCAGGGCAAAAACCTCAAATCTCATTTTCAAACCAAAAGTAGAAAGAATAGTCCACACACCATTAAATTAAATGGAAAAATTCCCATTTGTAACGTCATCAGTCATGAACTTATATTCAAACCAACCCATTGATGAGTGGTAATATTTAAATGAATGCTAATCATTAACTTTACATGTGCTTTAGACTACAGGTTCCTGGAGGATACCGGGCGATTTGCTGACGGTGCTAACAGAGACGGTCTCGTCCGGACCCCGAGATCGACTTTTAAAGTAAGTCCTTGCTTCACAATTTAAGTGATCCCATGAGCCTAAAGCCCTGAGTATACTTGTTTTAATTACGTGTACGCGAAGACATGACATCAACCTTGTCAGTCACTCCCTGCTGAGTGCTAAGGCTAGCTCTTTCACTCAGTAGAATGCCAAATGGAGCAACAAGAAATTCAGCCAGTCTCACAGATGACTGGAGTAGATGCTGAAGAATGTACTAATTCATAAATAGACTTTGAATCCATGGGTCAATGAATCCAGAATTGTTTTGAATCCAGAATCGATTCTGAATTGAGAAGAATCGAATCGTGAGACCCAAAGATTCCCTGTCCTACTTTTCTATTTCAAGAGGGAAAAAAACTCCTCCTGACCCCTTAAATGTCAAAGATAGTCTTTGTTGAAGTGAAATATTTCAAGGGCAAGGTTTACTTGTCATTAAAGCATAAATCCTGGCAGCAGTATACTACAGACAGAATTATTTTATTCCAGGGGAATAATGATGATAACAATCGTGGTCAGTATTGTCGGATCTGAAGTCTGAGATCACTTCTTCAAGCTGTTTTTCAACCTTTTATTCAAAACCATCGTTTTTTATTAGCCTGTAAAACCTATTTAAGAAGCAGTTTCTGATATGAATCCAAAGATTTATGACCCTGAACATTGTTTTGGATGAAAAGCGTCTGAACATACTGTCCTCACATCATTAGGTGAAGGAATAGTTTTGTTAAAACAACATTACATGTATGTTTATGAAATCTAGTGTGAATGTTTTGATGTTTAAGAAGCAAAAACAGATGTTCTCTCCTGATTGTTTTAACGACTGCTCGTGTGTTGGCTTTGACAAAAGATTCATAACTGTTGAGTACGTACGGCCAAGACTTTACTCTCGAGTGCTGAAAGTCTGCCTTATCACCCAATCAAAGCTAAACGGAAAGTTAATATAGTTAGATCTCAAAACTTGGAGCTATTTCTACTGACTGAACCGCTCTCAAACTTTGAGGAAAGGCTAAGAAAAAGAAAGAGGACAACAAGCTGCTGCTGGTAGACGATCTAAATCAGAGAAATCATACGATCTATGAGTGTTGAGCCTGAATTTAAAATATTTTTTTCATTTAGAAATATTTTCTAAGTAAAAGAGAAATCACTTCAGATCCAGAGTCTTGCTTTTACCAACATATTGCAAAATCAGCCTGAAAGTCAACTTAACTCTTTTGACTGAATGTAACAATTGTAGAAAAAAACACGCTCAACTCCCTTTCAACGTAAAACTACTCGGTGATGAATCCAGAAAAACAATTCAAACAAGAAAAACAAAAAGGACAGCACACCAGAATTTGTATTTTAATAGCAACACACATGGCAATTAAAATACAATGTTGGTGTGCTTTCCTTTTTGATTTTCTTTCTTGTAATGTAATAATAACCAGTGAATCTTCATTGAACACTCATTAGAAGGTTTCTCGTTACACTTACTTTAAACCACCTTCACCTGACAACACCAGATGAGCATCTTCAATGAAGCAAGCAAAACAGTACTTAATTAGTTTCTTGAAATAGGATAAAGTTCTGATTTCCAGAAATGTAAAAAGTAAAATATTGTTGCTTGATTGACAAATGTTCCTTATTTTTCTAATTACAAGCAATTCAGGCCTTTCTTTTTGTCTGTTAAACCTTGAAATAAGATGTTTCTCTGGACTGGCACATCTTTGTGCCTTAAAATGTGAGTAATGAGATATTTTTAATAGGACTAAGTCAAATACTAAGAATTGAGTTTTTACAATAGGCTCACCTTTATCTTCCCTGCATTCATCTGAAGACACTTCAGAGACCTACAGCTGTCCTACATTAAAAAGCGTTTTGAAGTCATAATAAAAATAATAAATGTCTCTAATATACGAGTTTGTGAGTAATAGTAAAGGTGGAGGATTTTTCCAAAAAATCCACTTCTAGTGGCGTGATAAATACTGAGTATAGAGCTGACGTCTTTATTAAGGCAGTTACTTGTATAGATTGTCATAAGTGCAGCTGCTTTTCATATAACCAGAATATGTTTGAGGGAGCGGTTCTCGGTGTTTAGAGCTGAATTTAAACATAAATGATGAGTTCATTTGTACAAAAATAAACTTCAGTTTTGAGTTAATTTGTCGTAATCAAAAAATGTTTTTAGGGGGGGGTTAAGAAAACATCTTTGGAAAGTGTTTAACTTTATAAAGTAAGATAGACATATCAGTCCAACTGGTCTTGATAATCAGTCTCTCTTTTGCAAAACTATGTATTCATGGAAACGTGTCACTGATCGCTTGTTATATTGGATCAAATTAAATATGATTTTTGAACACATTTACATCCAGCTTTAAAAAAAATCTAGATGGTAAAAGGACTTGAGCTGGTATAGCATATTTTCTAGTCTTCTGACTACTCAAATCACTTTTACAACACATTTCACTTCACACATTCCCACCCTGATGACAGAGGCTGTAAAGTGACCATCAGAACTAACTAATCCCATTCATACACATGCATACGCCGGAGCAATTCAGGGTTAAGTGTCTTGCCCAAGGACACAGCCGACATGTTCCTGCAGGAGCTGGGGATCAAACCCCTAACCTTCCTGTTTAGAGACGACCGACTGAGCGTCAGCCGCCCCAACAAATCCAGCTAAACCATGGTCCAGCTTTAATCCGGCATCATCCTCATGTTTTTCCTCTTTTCTCCTTTCTTTCTGCACATGTATAATTTGTGGCTTTAGTTATGTAAGGCTCTCTGCTGTTGCTCCAAACCACAGACCTTCATTTATGTAAGAGTCAGTACCCCTGCCAGCACTCACCTGTCCTCTCACTACTAGAAAACACAACATTTAATGATATGTGATTAGTTGGACTGATGCTCGTTCTTTTATGGGATTCTCAGAGGCAGCGAATGCTTCAGCGGTCACAGATCAATCAAAATAATGAGGCCTATTCTCAGCGAGAGATAAAGGCTTGGCTCATGAGCTCTGGGGTTTGGGTTCCCACCAGAACTAAACCCTGCAAGTGCAGCAATTAGCTATTAGCCATGTGTAGCCTTGTCTTTTAATAAATCTACTTTAGTGTCACTCGTTGCCTGCCAATCGAACGTCCTGAGGGAGCAACGCAAAGTGCCAGAAAGGAAGCGCTCGTCCTTTCAAACTTCAATGCGTCCAGTAAGGAGAAGTTCAGGTCACCCTCTTGGTTTGATCCTTTTTATGAATCTTGCACAGCCGGATTTATTGATGCAGAACAGATGTTTGGTATTCAGACCTTTTAGTTCTTAGAGAAGATGTCCCCCCTCCTGCTGACTTTTCCACTCAACTCAAATGCCAACCAGTCTGTGGTCCGAATAAATCAGGGTAAGGCTAAAATTAGAAGCTTTTTCATAACATCCTGATTATTAAAGTTCTGCTGGTTGATGGATTGTTCTGTTCTTTTTTTATTAACCTTTATGTGAATGTGGACCTCATAATTTCATAAAGACCCAGGTCTATACTTTAAATGTAACAATACTTGTCTATACCGCGATACAGAACATACTGTCGTCTTTATGCTGTATAGGGCTGCAACTTGTGATTATTTTTTATCATCAATTATTGTTTAAGTGCCATTCTTTGGGGACCTAATATCCCTGGAATGTTTGGCGGGAATTCCTTCAAATAGGGCACAAAAATCCACTTGAACTAAAAGATGGACCAAAGAGATAGTGGTGGTCAAATTTCAGAGATTACCATCTCTGTGACTTCTCGTCTGTCCCATGCTTGTGAACGCAGTATCTCAACGAAGACTGGATGGGATTTGTTCACATCTGTTTGATTTTTTATCTTTCACCTATCCAATGCAAAGACTCTTTCTACACCACATTCATGCCTGTTTGTTTCTCTGTTTTCAAAAAGAAGAAGATGAACGTGTGATTACAATCACACATTCTGTAATCAATCACAGAGATAGATGTTCTCTGTGTTTATGTACCATCTGTAAACCATTGAGCTACAATCTCCCATGTTTACTATTTGATTTTGTGTCATATTCATGTCAGTGTATTCCTTCATTTTGTTTCCATATGCATATATTTACCCTTTGTCCACTGCCATTCTGTGGGAAACACATGGCTAAATGTAAAAATTAACCTTGAGTCAAGTGAGCAATACAACTCCGAGGGGTGATCTAGTTTCTAACAAATCATCTAGTTGGGCTGAAAAATGTCAGAAAATAAGGGAAAGTGTCAGAGGTATTTAGTTTATTATCAGTAAAGTGGAAGCTTTCATTTGTTAAACTGACGCCAGTGTATATATACTCTTTTAACTTAAAGATAGACAGTGAATTGACTGTCAGACTTCTTGCCAGTTGATTCAGAGTTAATAAGTAAATTAAATAATGTACTTTCTCCTCTTATGATATGAACTACCTTTGCTTTTCTGCTTTCCCAGGCTAAAAGATTGGCAGCTAACGCCCGGAAGTTAAACATCACGCTGAGGTTCCTCCCCGTCACCTTCACAAGGAGCAGAGAAAACTCCACCTTCTTCCTGGCAAAGTAAGGATGAACAAAACAAAAAATACAACACATGTATTAAAGTTAAGATATTTTCTGTCGGTCACCAAGAAAAGTGTTTCATAGAGCAAGAGCAGTAGTTATGTAATCCATAATAATATTACAGGAGCAAACTTAGCAGAGGAATTTGAGTAACGTAGGCTCATCACTTGTTTTAAGGTCTTCATAAGTATCTTAAATATCCGTTTTAATTTAGGAAACTACAAAATATCTTAGTCTTTTCCATCATGCTCAAACTGCAATCACTTTTGTTAATTTCTTGTTTGTCCTCCAAAATCAAGCTGAAGTGTCATAGCACACAAACACATGGAGTAGTTATCCAACACCTCGGGGTGTTTGTGTTTCAAAGCAACGCTGCTTTAAGTCTTACCCAAGCACTCTGAGACTGTTTATGGTGCTTTCAGTCACAATCAAAGCAAACACTTCACGGCTTCCTGAGAGTTAACTCCTGCTAAGTCTGCAGCAAAATGAGCTTCTGATTAGTGATGTTTGACTTAACCACAGGATGGCACTCTTGTTAAGCCCTAACAGCAGCTGTATCCAGTGCTGGCTGGATGTCAGGTTATCTTATGGCAGTATGTGATGAAATCTTTAACAATGATGTCTTTTAAGCCCCATGGTCAGTATTTCACCTGAGACTCTGGAGGTGTCATTGACTTTAGCACACTGGGTATTGATCGGGAATTTCCTTAAATGGGATTCAGCCATTGTGACATATTTGACTTGACAGTTAAATCCTGTAATGAAAGAACCCATGTCAGATCATTCAGGTTGTATCAGTAGCTTCTAACCAGCACACATGTACATATACGTACAGGTATTTAAAAGATCAATGGCATTGTTTGCAATGCTGCAGAGTAAATCTGTTTTACAAGCTGCAATGCATCTCTGTCATTATGATACAGCCCAATTAAAAGGACCAATCTGTAACTAACAACTGGCTGTGTGTGCACCACATTCTGAAATCATACAAAAAGCACTATAAGCCTTTCATCTTTAACTTTAAATGAAGTTTGAGGACATAAAATATGTATCTTGTGCATCACTAGTCCTATCATCCCTTTTTGCACCAAAAAATGTCAAAAAATAGTATTGGAGATGGTTTTAAAGTGTATTTTTAGGAAATGATGGCACAGTTTCATGTCAGTTTTTTGTGTGGTCATTGTAGCTGAATAGCCCTTAATAACAGAAGATGTTAAAGATTGAGCCAGTAGATGTCAGCCTTGAGCACCAGCATAAAACCAAAACAGACTGCTGTTTGGCTGTGCCTCAGCCACACTGAAGCCTCGACACACCTCCAACCTCACCTCGTGTTCACAAAGAGGAGTCAATCGCAAGCGGCTTGAGCTGCAATTGGCCTTTGGCCTGCATAATTGTGTTAGCAGGCTAATGCTAGCACACGTAAGTTAGCTTGAGCTTCACATTGCATGTAAATTTCCACAGAATGACCGTGATATAAGAACGCTAACGTGGCGTTCAAATAGGCAGTGAGTATGTTATTCTACTTTTCTCTAGTCCTTGACTGAAACGGTTTTTATAAGCAATGGGAGGATCTGGCCGTCCCGTCCATGTAAACATGATGTAAACATGATGTAAACATGACGTAAACACGGCTCTGATGACATCACAGGCGACGGGACTCTTTCTAAAATCTACATAAATCCACGTCCCCATTTGTTAATTTATAAAAGCTAGTTTTTTAGAGAGTCCGTACAGTATCACAAAAATATATGTATTGCTTAGTGGTCAGTAAATAAAGTATAAATAAAGGTACAAACCACTTTGGATGTTGTTATTTAACATTTCATCGCTGGTAGTTTAATGATTTGGGGAGTAAAGCCTGCAGACTTGCCGTAATTTAGACCCTGAGAAGGTAAGTCATTCTTTCACATGGGCACTTATCCAATTTGCTCGGTTCTACTGGTGGTCTTGTCTTGTCTGCTGTCTTTTCTCCCTGCCTTGGCAACCCTCTGCCACTCATTTTCCCATTTCTTTTGAGTCTGGTCCCTGCCATCTAATCCCCTTGTGGAATAAGAGGAGGGAAAGAGGGGAAAATAGTTATTGAATTGCATATTAAAGTTTTTTTTTTTTTTTACGAGTCTGAAATGCCCAGAGACAGCATTGGGTGCCAATCAGGATTGCCACTAAAAGAATCCTTTGTCAGTTCCTCCAGCTGGTTTTATGTTGTTGCTTTGCCTTTCACCACCCTTTTTTCCAACCTCAAAGTCCACCACTTTGTCATGTGTCTTTCTGGGGTGAAGCAAGTGGTGAGTTTAATGTGCACGTCACATCTCAGGAAGAGGCAGCATTATGTCAGGTTGTAGTAGCACACTGTGACCACGCTCCAAACCCTCGCTTCTCCTTCCCAAACTCAACACTTGTCAGATGTTGACAGAAAGTGTTTGCAAGATGAGTTTTTGTTATTAAGCTTCAACACTTGGAAAATTAGCTAAATTCCAACTGCTTTGGCATAATGCCCAATAATCATTCTGCTTTTGCTGCTGCATTGTCCGTAGAGGAATCTTTGGCCTGCTGCACAGCTTTATTTCTTTGTTTAGTCTGGCTTCTCTCACAATGTCTCATCAGGAAGAATTTCAAATAACCACAACAGTGTCCCATTCACAGACAGTGGACACGAGGGACGGGATGAAAGGTGTACAATGAATTGGGAGGGATTGAGAGAGACTGTGCAACAGAATGTACCAAGTACATAATATAAAAAGCAGATGTGTGAGCAGTGCGACTGCAGCTGGTTAGCGACATATTCATGCTACGCACTCGCACTGCCAGAGAAAGATCATTACTGGCAAACAGCTGACTACAGGGCTTTCATGCCTGGCGATAATGTGTGCGTTTGTGTGTTCAGGTTTTAGTTTGTGAGCATGTGTCTCTTTGATTAAATGTTTGAATGTATTTTAAAGGCCATGGAATACTTTCTTTTCACCATTTGCAGCTGTGGTTAATCGAAAGAATAAAGCACAAACAGTAAAAAAGACCAAAAATTAGGCTGCGTCACAGTCCAGCACTTGCAAGGAAAGTATATACCAACTGGCATTTGGCTGAACATTGGGAGTAGTTGGGTTCTCTACAGTCTCAACTTGGCATTGCCAGGAAATTTCCTCATAGGCAGATTTAGGGGACTGGACAACACATTACAGGAGCAGTTGCTGTGCATAGTAAGTGTACATAATTGTATAATAACTCAACAACAGCTAGTTTTATGAGCCACTGTGGATATGTGCCATTTATGTCAGTTTGCCAGCCTCAAATAACCCAGCTGTCTTAGTTAGAAGAGACCTGATTTTGTTGATATTGAGAGGTGTTGAAGATAAGAATGCAACTTGTTGATAAGATGAAGAAAAAACAATTTTCATAAAGAGGAACTAAACAAACCAATTCCTGGACCTTATAAAATGAGAAGATACAACTGTCAACAACATTGTGTGCTGTTTTTACTTTTCAAACATCCCTCCATTCATCTTTACATATTCAAAATGCATGACTTTTTAGCTGTTGAACTAAAACCATCTTACTCCAATCACCTGCAACCTCAGCTCCACGTAAAATCACCTGACTCAGTGGCTTCATCCACATGTTCTTGCTGCAGCTGCTCAATCCATAAAAGCATTTCTTGCTTGCTATTCACAGCTTAGCTATGGTGTGAAATGAAGCAGACATGTTGTCATACTTTTTTGTCTAATGACATGGTTCTAAATGGCACGTTATTGCTTCCTGATGATCACTTCTACCCACAACTAATTACAGTTAAAAAAATGCTCCTTTCCACTGGAATGGCACCCTTTTTAACCTGCCTGGCCTGAGCTGATTGGTTGATTCTGCTCCTTTTGAGGAGCGTGAACTCAAGAAGACCATAAAATAAGGTGGGAGAATAAAATGAATTTATTAAAGAATCCATACCAATATCAACATCATGCATGTTCTCCTACATACATTCAAGGGAGGCTAGAAGGGTTGCAGTGCTGCACATTTTCATACACATTTTGCATATAGTATGACAAACACTGGAATTTGTTTGTTCAGCTACAAATTTTCTGCAAGTTCAGCTGCAGTTTGTTGCAGCTATTGTCGGTTGTTCTTAACAGTTTCATCATCTCATGTAGTTTGTTGTTGACTTTCTGTTCTCTGAATTCCCTCAAAGTGTAAACTAGCTGTGAAACACCTCCGACAACAGAATGCCATGTATGAGCCATAAGATGTCATTGACATGGATACATTATACATATATTCAGTTTTAATTGGATACACAGTATACAGATGTAGAACTGCAGTGGAGCTAAGCAGAGGTTGCATCTGCTAGCATCAAAGCATTCTTGTTGGCTTTGCCTCCAAAGCTCCATGTGCAGAACAACTCAGCTTTCTTGGTCAGTGTAACACCCACTAACTGTTTCGTTTTTAAATTGACCAGATTTACTATTAACACAAATTTGACTACAAATCATTTGGAAATATCCAGTCAGCAAAACTTGTTCCTGCAGCATTAATAAAAGCCCTTCGTTGACTTGGTGATAGCTTTAAATTTGAAGCAACGGCAGATAGAGTTCAAAAGAAGTTCAACAAACTTTTCTCAATTTCATTACAGCTGCAATAGCATGGAAAAGCACATAGAAGGTGGGCCTGTTAAACGTTTACCAAGCTTTAATTCCATGATTGATGAAGGTAAGATGAGGAATACTAACCTTTGTTCACCTTGAGTCAGAAGTTAAAGCGAAAAAAAATGAATTTCCATCACTGATACATCACGGTTAGTTGGAAGTGCAGTGGAAATACACATGCAGAAAAACTGCTGATGGTTGCTATTCTTGTACATTGGAAATCGGTTGTAATCTTAGAACCTCAATTAGGCCAATTATTGTAATTTAAAAAATGCTGAGACATAGCTGTAACATTCAACCCAAGCGGTGTATGAAATACTGCACGTGATGAATGAATGCACAAATTGATTAAAGCAGACAAACCCATATT